GCTTCCCCAATTCCAAAAGGAAAAGTGGGTGAGTTGCCCCCACAATCTGATATCCACTTGTTGGCCTTATTCGACCTTGATTTGGGCCGGCAGCACGTATCGATTTCAACTATTTTTGGGCTGTCCTCGTATGACAATGAGGTCCTCCCAACATCTAAATTTGGCGGGTCTACCAAGTTTTCCTGCAAATTATGACGAAACTCGAACAATAACATCTACATTCTTTTCACCCACTGAAATATAATAAATAAATTAAAAAAAAAATGTAATTTGCAAGGCTCAAATGGCTAGCTAGAGTACATTTTCAATTCAAAAAAGTTATAACTGGCCATAAAACTCAGGAGTGGAGAGGAAGGTCTGATGAACTCACCAGGGATATTGGGGCTTGGGGATAATCTTCATAATAGTTGGTGAACCGTCGGGCCTTCAGGGCCCGAACGCTTTCTTGAGCCCTCATGAGAGCTTGCATGCTGTGCAGTGCTGCTGTTGCCTGTTTACGCACCAAAAAACCTCTCGCCAGCGCCTGAATCTTCACCAGTCCCTTCAAAGCCCGTAGTGCTCTTCGGGCCTTTTTTTTAACATCGATTCACAAGTAGTTAGTCTTGAAAAATGAAAGATTTTCCCAAAAGCCTTAAAAATCAGTCGATTTAACAATTAATTACCATATATCCACGAAAAGCCGCTTGGATCTTAGCAGCAGCCAGCTTTTCCCGTGTGCGAGTGGTGAGAAGAACGACGGTGGCCGCCGCCTGGGCCGCGGCAACGGCGGCGTCGGCAGCGGCTGCGGTGGCGGCAGCTACTGCCCTGGCGTGCTGTTTCTCCTCGCTGTCGGGTTCATTATAAAATGAGGTGAGCCAGGCGGCGTCGGCAAGGGTTATGCCTGCTGTTGTTGTACGATTGTGCTGCATTAATGGGTGGTTCGTGTCTCTGGGCTCAACCCAACAATAATCCGTTGTTTCAAACTTTTGTCGATCCTTAATTCCAAACAGGGCCTTCAACCACCTTGAAGCTCTTCCCATTTTCTTCTCTGTTGGGGGGGTCTTTGTTCTCTGATAATAATATAAAACAGAGAATGAAGGATTGATGGATTGATTGATTGAATAAGCTTGTGGGGGTGGGTGGGTGG